ATTGGTCTTTGAATGAGCAAGAAGCTTCTTCATCGGCACCTTGGCGATGTGGGTAGAATCAGTGATGCGATAATAAATGGGAGCATGGCCACCTTGTCGTTTGACTCGTGTTGCTGATTTCAGTGAGGATGGTACATCATATCTGTCGAAGATCATGTGGAGCTCTTGTAAATCATTATACTTTACAAGCAAGCGATTCGTGAAATATTCAGCCAAGTCTCTACAGTTATTGATCCACTCTGGCTTGTCAAGTGATTGGACTTCGGCCATTCCATCAACAATCGCGAGTTTGAATCCTGCGGTGATTTCTTGTGTATTAGTACTAGGGCCACCTGCCTTCTCTAGGATATGCATAAGGGCACTCTTGCAAGAACAATGCAACATGGTACCATCTCGTGCAAACAAAGTTCTTGGGACAACAGTGAACTCCTATAAGCCAACAGCCTCTTGGATGTCAATTTCTGGGCGGCTCTTGGACACCATCGCCAAACGAGCAAACAGATTTCTGTCCTCCTTTAACTCGATGATCGTGTCTTTAGCTTTGACTTTGATGACCTTAGCACTCGTTTTCCAGGTAAGAAGATTGTGCGTCTTCACAGGAGCCCAGAGGTTGATCTTTCCTGTCCTGATCCTATCTTGTACAAAAGCACTGAATAGCTTTCTCCCTTCTTCACTCTGATTAACAAGATCTTTCTTCGTTTTCTCATTCATCACAACTTTTGTGACCAAGTTGTAGAGATCGGTGTTGGTGTTCTGGTCTGATGAAAAGGGATTGGTGAAGGTCTTGATTGTCTCGGTCAACTTATTTATGCTGTTATCTTCTTGCGTCAAAACAGCTGAGTTTAGTTCTTGATGGTGTGCACGTTCCGGAACGAGACCCGCCATTGCCTTGGCTTCTGCTGTGAGTCGGGCTAGTTCTGGGGCAATGAGGAAAAACTTGGCTCGTGCGCTCTCTTTCAAAGTGATCCCTACAAGCCCACCAGAAACTTTCATAGATCGATTGAGGTGCTCCAACGCAGTATCACCACCAACAGCACAGAAGGGAACCTCCTTCTTCTTGTTCACTACCCAGTTTCCTGTGATGAACTCTCCATAGATCTCGGGGACTGATGATTCGAGGGATGCCATTTCAGCTAGGTACAGGGGGATCATCCTTAGATAACAGATCTTGTCGTGCACAAAGACGTACTTTGTGAACAACTCCAGTGCAATTAGATGGAGCTTCCAATCACCACTGCGGACTGCCTGGATGAATGCGAACATCTCCATTACCATGCGCATGTATCGGCGAAATACAGTAGAGAGAGGATTTGTGGCATTCGCAGCGTCAAAATCAGACATCTTCTTGACTACTTCAGAAGACTGGATCGCGTTGGTAGAGCTATGGTGCGCCGTCTGGATGTTCTCCTTAGTGCCTTCTTTGCACGCATCTCCAACTTTCGTAGAGAGTTCCTCGAGGGTACGACGTACATCAGGCGAGCCTTCTAGAAATGCTCCCAGGTATAAGGAAAATAAAGCCCGTAAGGTGATCATGTGTGCTCTTTTACCGCGCTTAACATGCTTGCCATCGATTATCTGTTTAACAGTGGAGGGGCCATTAAGTTCCGACTCGATCCAGCACATGTCTATCCCGCTACTGTCAATATATGACCCAATGGTCCTCAGCATAGCCATAACCACATGCAGCTCCCCTGGTCGAAGGAGAATGTTCTTGAGCTCGCACCGGGCCATCTGTAATCGTTTGGCGGGCAGATACAAACCAAGGTCTAGCGATATGACTGTTTTCCTCCCAGGACCGACTACTCTAACAGAGATATTTTGAGCATGCATCAGTTCAGGCTCACAATCACCCAGGTCCCCTAGGTTAAGAACCCACAGGAGTTTGTGCGAAATAGGATTGTAGAAATCGCTCATAATAAAGTTATATAAGCCACACGAAATACATTATCATTACACCTTTTTAGCTTTTATTTTTTTCATTCAAATGCTATACATACAGCATTAATATGCATTACAATGAGTCAACGTTATTGTCCTGGATGATGTGTTCACCTTTGGCGTGTTTTGCAATCCAGCCTCATTTCCATGTATGGGGTCACGTGACACTACAAAGTGGCACCAATCGATGTAAGATGTCTAACTGACTAAGGTGAGCAAGTTTGGCATGATAAGGATTTTTTTT